TGCGGGACGACCTCTAACGTGCTCTTAGGGATTGGAAGAGTAAAGGCCAAAACGTGTTTTTTTGTCATGCCAGACGTGGACCATGCTATCGTCCTAGGGAGGTAATTCCTATGCAGGACGGAGACATTGATGTTTAATAAGCACGATGAGACTCTAATCCTGGTCCTGAGTGATCCAATATGTGGTAATTATGAGATAATTACCGGCCGAAATACGGGGCCGCAAAGCATAAGGAATATGCCTAATCCCGACTCTTTCACGATTGAGGAATTTGAGGACGAGCGTCGGAGGCTCCTTGCGGAGCCAGAGGAGGAAGCGAGGGAGGATGTGCTTTCCCTCAGTCTGTCCGATGTAAACAAGGCCATGGATGTTGTGGCCACGCATGAAATGGCGGATCCAGACGCCATTCAAGCGTTGAGGGAACAAGTTTTGGAGCGTCCCCGAGCGGGAGAGATGAAGCTGGTCTATCGGCTTTCGGGAGGAAGGAGGGACCCTGCAATGATGCAAGCGCAAGCCGTAAGCCGGCCTTTTTTGGGGGACGGCTCAAGCAGGGTTCCCAAAGGTGGTACAAGACGATAGATAAGAAGTGCCCCCTGTTCCCGTTCTTGTCACTGAAGACGAGGAGATTTATTACAAACGGGAATGAGGATTGATACGGCAGATGAGGGAACAAGCGGTAGCACGACCGTGCCTTATCAACAATAGAAATGAAGGGAAGTTGGTAGTTGGGGAGCCTGACCTTTTGCTACCCCAGAAAATGATATTAATGGTGGAATTGATGAAGAAGAGGCATCGCGCCTATGCGTTTGATGACGACCAACGCGAGAGGTTGGACGTGGATAAGATCCCAATGATCCGTATCCATACCATACCGCATGACCCTTGGAACTTGAGAGGGGCGCGATATCCTAATCCTGATGACGAGAAGACGGTGGTAGATTACCTTGACGGCAAGATACGCACGCACGTCACCGACTACTCGAGCGGACCATACGCGTCCCCATGGTTTTGCTTTATTAAACCTAATGAGACGTTGCAATTGGTGCAGAAATTCCAACAATGAAACGCTGTGACTGTGCGGGATGCCGGAGGCTTGCCGAATGCGGATGCGCTGTCAGAATCATGTGCTGGGAGACCAATAATTTTACTCATTGACCTCTACTCCGGATATGACCAGTTTCCAGTCTATCCGCCAGACAGGCCAGTAAGAACAATGCATACGCCTCGATGACTTATTCACATGAATGTAGCTCCACAAGGATGGACAAATGTAGTAGCAATGGTTCAAGGATATATGATTCGGGCCTCGCAATCAGTCAGCCCGTATATCACGCAACCTTATATTGATGACATGATAGTAAAGAGGCCTAGAGAGAGAGAGAGAATGACAAAGTCTTGCCAGGAGTAAGGCGTTTTATCTGGAGGCATGTTCATGACCTTGATAAAGTCCTAAATTTGCTTGAAGAACATAACCTCATGGCAAGTGGAACCAAATCGCGACACTTCATGAGGGAGGCTACCATTTTGGGGTTCGTCTGTAGTGAGAGTGACCGTCGGCCAGACGCTAAAAAAACAGACAAGATTATCGAATGACCAGTACCATTCCATTTGATAACAGATGTTAGAAGCTTCCTCGACACTTGTGGGTTTTGAAGGACCTTCGTCAAGAACTTTGCTGCTAAGACGGAGCACCTGAGAAAGCTAGTACGTCAGGATCAGGAATGGATTTGGGGTGAGGACCAGGAGAAGGCCGTGGAAGGAATGAAGGAGGAGTTCCGAGAAGGAGGGATGGTATTGGGAGCGCTGGACTATGAGGCTACGGAAGTAAGACCATTTACTGTTGAGACGGATGCTGGACTGACTGCTTTGGGTGAAGTCTTGATTCAGGCAGATATTGAAGGAAGGGAGAGACCGCTGCAGTTTGAGAGTCGAACTCTCTGTACAACTGAGAGAAATTACTTTCAGTTCAAGAGAGCGACTTTCGCTGTCCTTCACTGCCTAAGAATCTTTCGAAACCATATCTTTGACCGGAGATTCATATTGAGAGTGGACCCAGCTGCTCTGGCCTATTCCTTAAGGAATTACGTTCCATCGGATTCGACAGATGGGTAACGTACATCTGGATGTTTAACTCCGAATTGGAGTGAATTCCTGGGAATAAGAATAGAGCGGATGGGTTGAGTTGTATCAACTGGGATAAGCAAGAGGGGGAGGCAGTAGAGGACACGCCCCCAGTTGATGGCTTTTTGGATCAGGAGGAGGATATCCGCCTTCATATTAATAAGTGGTCCCCGCGAGTACCTAACTGCGTTGGTTATCCCATCTGGCATGCGCCAAAAGGGTATGAGCAGAATGCAGAATTGGTACGGTAGCCTTTCAAAGAGGAAGACCCTTGGGGGGGCAAGGATGTCCAATGAATGATGAAGTTGACGCTTGCAGGCACACATAGTATGGTAGAGGAAATTAAAACGATAGAGGATGGGCCAGACCAGGTAGAGAAGCATAAGGTGCTGATGGAAGGAATGTATCGCCTTGTCAATACGCTTCTGCAAGGGAATTTTGATGAGGTAGGCTCGTTGAACCCGACCAAGGGCGAAGATATGGTGCCGGAAAGCCAAGACGACGAGTTCGAAGAATGAGAAATCAAAGAGGCATTTTGTGCAGAGGAGTATGATGGGGTCTACCTGGAACTAGGGCTCCTCTTATCGTGTGAAATGAGGAATAGGGATACAAGCGAAATGGCCCAGAGGATGAGACACCTCTACCTGGTGAGAGATGATCATCGCTTTGTAAAGACGCAAGTGGGAAACCCAAGAAGGGTCGTGCGTGTGTGGGAGAAATTGTCAGATAGATGTGATAGTTGCGCTTCATGATGGCATTGCGTGAGGACACTGGGGAGTTAATGCCACGTATGCCAAGATAAGCGAGCTATACTATTGGAATGGAATGATGAAGATAGTCAGTAAGTTCTGTCGTTCCTGCGTACCTTGTTAGGAGAGGTCGCCTTTGAGGCCTGGAGAGTCGCTGCATCCGAGGTTCGAAAGGGACATGGGGGCTGTAGTACATCTCGACTTATTGTTCATGCCAATTGGGGATCATGGTTACAACTACATCTTCGATGCGCGGGATAATCTTACCGACTTTGTAGATGGTCGAGCCATTTCTACCAAGACCGGGTTGGTTCTCGTAAACTGCATCGAAGAGTACCTACGTTATCCCTTCGTCTGAGAGTTCATGATGGACAGGGATCCGAGTTTACTTGCCAGGAGGTGCAGGAGTTATTGGCAGGGTACGGTGTGGTGGCCAATTACACCACTGCCGCACACCCTTAGGCGAATGCTCCAGTTGAAAGAGGGCATAGCACCATCACGAACCCTCTGGCTAAATGGACTGAAGGTAGGCCTAATCAGTTGCCAAGATACCTAAGGGCTGTATTTTTCGTCGATAATATTACGGTAAAAAGGAACACCAAGTACTCACCAGCCACGCTATGGTACGAGAGATACGCCACCTTCCCAATTGAGAGCTTCCTAAAAACCTGGAGGCGTCAGAATTTAGAAACCAACCTGTCCTTCGAGGAATTGTTCGACATTCGAGCGCGACAGGTAGGTGCGATTGAGGAAAGGATTCAGTAGGCGTCCAACCAAGTAGAAAAAAGCCGCGTGGATGATAAGGCTCGTTGGGACCGGTTGGCGCGAGTACGAAAGGTACCTTTGGCAGTTCGGGATGTCGTATTGCTATATGACTCATCCTTGGAAAAACAGTGGTCCAGAAAACTTGACAAATGATGACAGATGCCCTATCGGATTGTACAATGTGGAGACTTCGGAGCCTATCAGATTGAGGAGCTGGATGAGACGGAATGAAAGGATTGGGTATCGGGAACGCGACTGAAGAAATTTGTGGCAAGAGAAGAGGTGAGATAGGCAACCCAACTCCATTAAAGTAGGATCCTAAGTATGTAGGAAAGAGTCATAGAGAAAGGGAAAGGGTGATAGGATGTATGAGTTGGATAGGTGTGTTTCATGAATGTGCTTGATCTGACATGTGCCTGCGTTATTTCCACCTTTTTGCTTACCCCGATGTATGACTGTCGTCTCCTTTGCCTGTTGTGCAGGTCTGACTTTACGAAGACAACCATGCTGAGAGGAGGGAGGGGGATGCGGTTGCCACAAAGGCCATTGAGAGCATCAGGGGGTTATGAGCGACATCGGTCTCGCCATAGGGAGCACACGCCCGTATACAACGACGGGGATATAAAGCTCTTCTTGGACGACTGCAGAGTTCATGCGGAGTATATGGGATGGACAGTGACTCAGATGATTGAGAGGCTGAGAGGAGTCGACAGATTTGAGGAGCCCATCGCACGGATCCGTAGGGAGGCGAGGACCTAGCCAGAGGTGGAGATGAGGATGGATGAGCTACGACCATCACCTGTGGGGCCGGATGACAGACCAATCCGCCTGGAGATTGGGAACGTGGAGGACTTCATCCCCACCTTCGAGCAGTTCATGCACGACCAACGCATATTGAGGGATGAGTGGGTGCGAACGTTACCCCTATGGACCAGAAAGACGGAGAGACCATTGGCCAGGCAGATTAGGGATATGGCCCGGGACTGGAAAAGTTGCATGACACATTTGAGAGAGGCCTTTCGATAGCCGGAGCCACCTCAGCCTACAGTTGAGAGGCGGCATAGGAGCAAAAGGCAGAGGGACCCGGAGCCCAGAGAGGTCATGCTATCGCGAGGAGGACGGAAAGTGCTCACTAGGCGAGAGAAGGAGTCAGTACCTTTGGAGGAGGAGCGAGGGGCATATCCTGAATGTGGGATAGGCCCGGTGGTCTTCTAGCGCTTTACTGAAGCAGAGTTGAGCAGGTCTCCCAAACACGCGAGAGAGGAGGTGACACCATCCAGAGGATCATTGCAGGAACTGGAGGTGCACCTGGATATTTCACAGTGGAGAAAGCCACCGGCTAGTGAAGGCGTGGTGAGCCGGCAGAGGAGGAACCATGAGAGGAGGTCCATCAGCCGGAATGGGAGACGAGGCAGAGTGCTGAGAGAGGGCGTGCTATGGAGGAGGTGATAGAGGTTGAGGAGGACACTCCACCTCAGGCGCATGCTACAGACTTGGGGCCAGAAATCGTACCGGAGATCGCCCGCGAGGAGGAGGAGGAGCCTCAGCAGGAAGAGATTCCGTCCCCACCACCAGAGGCAATCCCTTCGCCAGAGGTGAGGATGGAGATGGAGCAAGAAAGGATTGACTGGAGGAGAGAGACCATCTCCACGATTAATAAGTATCTGGCTGCGCATGCCCAAGAGCACCCTGACATCGAGGAGCCCGTGCCTATGGAGCCACCACGAGAGCCGCGCCAGCCAGAGAGAGAGGCGGGGGCCGAGATTCCGGGAAGAGCAGACCATCGTACAAGAGGGAGAGTACCGTCAAGGGAGACAGCCGAGGAGAAATGGGCCAGAGTTGGGAAGTGCGCGGAGGAAATTTGGCAGGAAAGACAAAGACTGGAGACGGCAGGGGCACTCCCAGATCAGCCACCAGGCACACCTCCTAAACCATGTGGAGTCAAGGAAATGTGGGATGAGTTCCTTGGCCAGCATGGCGAGGGGTTGGCGACTCCAGAGAGGCCAGGACTCGGGACATCGAGGATGGCGAATGAGTACCTGGATCATAAGATCCGCTTCTTGGCCAACACATCTTTCAATAGGTACCTAATGTTGGAAGCTGATCTAGTCGGAAAGAAGATGAAGGAAGCGAGTCAGGGAGTGAGTTTGGAGGCGGTTGAGGTGGAGGTCTGAGAGCTCAGGTCATTGGTGGCTAGTCAAGCCGCCATTATCCAGGATTTAGGGCGGCAGCCTCGAGATGTGGCGGACAGGATAGAGAGAGAGGGGCCTACCGAAGAAGTGGACGGGGCAGGGAGTAGTCGACGTGACGATCCGAGAGAGTCAGTGCAGGGCTTATCCGGGCAGCCATCCGCAGTTGGACTCCCCCAGAGACCGCCCATGGGAAGAATCATCCTGGAGCCTAAGGAGGCAAAAACAAAGTGACACAGAGAGAGAGGCCTTTGAGTTCAGGGCGCCTACTGAACTCGCCACGTTGTCCATAATAACTGAGGAGCCCATGACAGTGGCTATGCAATTATTAGTCGAGAGGGGGCGACCGACAACTTGCAGCGAGCCGGTTCAGGGTTCAGGAGAAGGGTCTATAAATGTGCTGCTTGAGGCAGTTCACACTATGCAGGAAGAGGCGAGGTGGTGATTGCGATGGAGGGCCTTATCGAGAGTAGACCACAGAGGTTGGATACACCTGAATATAGGCCGGAGGGGATTGGGATACAACTAGAGCCGAGTACTCAGGAGTTGGAGGCGGGACCGGAGAAGCCTATGGGTATGCCCCAATACCATGAGGTAGCCAGGGAGGCTAGTGAGGCACCCTCGTTGCCAGGGTCTGAGAAGAAGAGGAAGAGAGGCCGAAAGTCAGGAGACTTGTTTTGTTTCTTCTGCAAGGATGAGGAGCATAGAGCCTTGCAGTGTCCTAAGTTCCTGAAGGACAAGGCAACAGGGAAGGTTACTAAGAGAGGTGGCCAGATGTATGATAGGCAGGGACAAGTGGTAGAGCGGACATCCGATGGGGGTAGGGCTCAGTTGTATAGGCAGAACCAGAAGGAGATGAGTGAGTAGGGACTGGTTCGCATATGTATAGGTGGTCAGTATGACATTGTGAGGCTGGGTTGAGTTTGCATTTTTGATTGGATACTCGTTTTTTCTTTTGTGTTCCTGTTTTGGTACTGTTAGGAGTGTGGGTACCTACGTTGCTTAGTTGTACATATAAAGGGTTACAGCGTGCGATTCCCATTGAGATTCTTTCTAGAGGTATGAGAATCGGGATTACGGGAGATAGCACGAGTATACAGAGATATTTCTCTTTGACACTGACACTCGCATTTAATATTCGTTTGATTTTTGCGACGCTTTTGACAGTGTGTTTGGTCACGTATCATAGTAAGAGCGACTTTGATTAATTCGACTGAGTTGTGGATCTGGGCTACTGTATATGTTTTTGATGAGGTATCTCATCCCTGAGTGTATTTTGAGCTGAGGTCTATTATTGAGACTATTTCCTTGTATATGACGATCATAATCACTCTCACAGGTGTGAATTTATCGTGATGTATGATGACTTTGCGTGAGAGATGTATGAGAAACATCTCGTGTGCCATGTATTTTGTGTAAATGAATGAATGTGAACTGCCTACTCTTCGGTATACTCGTGCTATCTGCCTATGAGTAGATGATAGGGCCGGGTATAAGGAGAGAGAGTGCAGTTTGTCTCTGTGAAAAGTGTGAGAATCCTAAGGGATTTATACGTTTTTGAGACTCGAATGCTTATCATGCCGAATGTTTATGGATTGAATTGTGATGAGGACCCATAAGTTGGTCTCTCAGTTTGAGTTGTTTTATGGTGAAAACATCCTCGAGTGAGAAATATAGTCTTCTATTTGTCAGGAGACTTATCTTCAAAGCGGAGAGATGTTTTAAGAGAAAGGTCGTGTGAGAGTTCATCCTAAAAAGGGAAGGGATGACTGAGAGACCTATTTAAGTGAGGCCTCCTTCATATGAAAGGTGGTTAATAAATTTAATGACATGGTAAGTTGATTTTGAATGATAAAGACTGACGAGGGAAGAACCAAGTTTTTGTTTGGCCATTGTTGAAATTTTGAAGGTTGCAAGTGTGATTTATTTTGGGAGATGTCACGGAGAGGTGACCTTCTTGCTCTGATCAAGTAGGTCACGACCTTGTGAATCTGACGGTGATTTTGTTTTGTAAATGTAGAGAGGTTGCCGTGCTTTCTCTGTGTTGTCCCACAGAGGACTGGTAAATACCTTTTATGTCTGATAGGCCTTTGCGTAGTCCCTCAATAGGCCTGTATTGTTGCGACACATCGGCCAACCACTTGTGTTAATCTTAGGACATTCATGAGAATATCAAGCTAACGGTAAGGTTTAGCATCACTAGGGCGCAACCCCTAATGTCGACTGCTGATCGGCGTAACCTTAACAACGGGCCTACGTCATGCAGAGGGAGTAAAAACTTAAAGGGGTGTGACCACCTAGGAGGGGTTTACTCCTGCGGAACGACGTGGGATAGGAGTCGAGTCGAGTCTTATTGAGTACTGATTGAATGTTTCTCAGGAAAAAGCCTATCGTGGCGCAACCTGCGAGGGCACTACGCTAAAATAACAAGGCGGTGGGCCGTAGATCTGGCACGATCACCCAAACTATGGTGGGTCACGATGGAGACCTGACCTTCCTGTACTAGACTGCAGGAAGATTTTATGATAAAATTTGTGTGTATATATATGTTTGATTGTAAGAATTGTTGGAGGGAGACAAAAATGTCTTCAAAGGTCTCGGTTAGGGCTCGCGTCCCTAGTTATGGCCCTCCTTGCAGGGTAGAGACTAGGGACACTTAACGAGAAATCAGCGTTTGTCTAGGACAAAGGGGAGAGGACAGTTGAAGAATCCAGTTAAGACTTATGCTGCAGTAGTGATGAGTATCGCACTGTCCCAGTGTCAGGATGATGGAGGCCCAGGTTGGAATCCTGACAGCATATAGTTGTATGAGCATGGATTGTTGGAGGCCTCAAACCTGAGTCTGTCGGCTGATCGGATTGGTTCCTTTTCCGTCAACACTTGGAATTCTGGATGGATTTATAGGTTTTTTATTTTACGAAGCGACATCCCCCGTCGCTTAATATGGTCCGGTAAGCTCGGTGCGAATACCCTTACAAGGATATCCGCCCTGTTTTTTTGCAAGCGACAGAAGATAAGTTTGGTTTAAAGCTAAGTAGCAAATCCGGATATCCGGCAGACCAATTTTATCCGAAATTTTCAATCCGGATGAAAATTCCGGATTAATTCCGGATATGAAAAATCCGGCCCTGCGCAAAATATTTTTTTTTACCGAAAAATAAAATATTCAAAAAAATCTGGAAAACAAAATGTTGTTCATATCAATGATATGAACAACTTTTGGCTTGGGGCCATCTTTGATCACTCAATATATATGAAGATAAAAAATAAAACAGAAAAAAAAAAAAATATTTAGATAAAAAATTATAGAATAAATTAAGCATCCCCCCTCTAAACCCCTTTATTCCTTATCTTATCCCCTTTGAACGCTCCCAGGCCCTATCAAGCTTTTCATGAAATAGGAATGTAGTTCTATTTTATTTTGCATGCGCAATATCAACTTTTTTTTTTTTTTTTTTTTTTTTTTAGTTTTTTTTTTTTAATCATCCGGATTTTCAGATGATCCTACCCCCCGATCATCCGGCCAGATAATCCGACCAGATTATCCAGCCCGATAACCCATGCTACCTAGGTTTAAAGTTTAAATATACCGCGCGAGGCGCGACTGTGTCTGTAGTTTACGTTGACTGTATGGTTGACTAGAGTAGAGAGTGTGTGAGGCGCGCAGGTTTGAGGCATGCGTGATCTCCTTCACCTTTGATGATTGTGGAAACCGACGTTGACCGCCGACCAAAGTTTTATTTTCCTGACAAAGCTAGGATTAAAAAAAAAATTGTCCCTTGATTGGTGTGCTTGCCAGTGACTTATGCGTACATATGGTGGATAACATTGACAACGAGGGGGCTTTGAAGTGTTTTCAGTAGGTCAGCTCGTCGCGCGGTGTCCGTTTATTTAGGCGTCCGTTAGAGCTAAACCCAGACTTGGGCCTAGCATTAACGGTTATCGTGCCATACTTTCATCTAGGAGATTCAAGGTATCGAGACTCATAGTGGGTGCCCAGCCTATTGCCTGCGGCCGACTGTGAGAGGTGTGAGTGTGAGCATGTCATCGAGACCTGAAGGGTGGTGAGCTATGCCTGAGCGCGGGCCAGCAGGTGCCAGTAAGAGGCCGCCACGGTGCTGGCTGGATGGTCTGGGCTGGTTCACGGCTGCTTGGATGATAACCCCTTTTTGGCATCGAATTTCATAAACTTTCATTTGAAAATTTGCTAATATCACTAGAAATCGCCTAGGGGACCGCTCCATCGAGGCCCATGTTACGGTTTATGGTTGGGCCGTGCCTTCGATCCCGCAACCTATTGAGAAAGAGGTAAGTGAGGACTATGCGTAAGCGTGAGAGCACGGAGTGCTCAGATGAGATGGCTGGATCGGTGTCGGTGTGCGCATAGGTTGGTCCTAGCTCGGTTAGCGCCCCGATGGGCAGTAGGTATGCAGATCCGGTAATGGGTCTGGCCTATGCAGTCCCAATTATGGGGTTGCTAATACTGTTCTTCGGGACATCCGTAAAATTGGAACGATACAGAGGGAAGGGCAGCATGGTCCTTGCAAAAGAACGGTCTGCATAAATCGAGGAGCGGTCTTTGTTTTTCTTTTCGGTTGTTTACTTCGTTGCACACGTGGTTATCGGGTAGCTGAAAATTCAGGAATGAAAATTCTGAAGTGAGGGTTTTAGGCATTCTGAAAATCCTTAATGGTCCTGAAGTGGTGAAAAGTCCGAAGACCCTGAAAACCACCTGTTTAGGCAGCTTGCATCCTGAAGTGGTGAAGGGTGTCCTGAAGTGGTCAAGTGAGAGTTTTGGGCAGTCTTAAAATCCTGAATGGTCCTGAAGTGGTGAAAGGTCCGAAGACCATGAAAACCACCCTTCACCACTTGAGGATGCAGCCTGCCTAAACAAGTGGTTTTCAGGGTCTTCGGAGCTTTCACTACTTCAGGACCATTCAGGATTTTCATACCTGAATGGTCTTGAAATGGTGAAAGGTCCGAAAACCCTGAAAACCACCTATTTAGGCAGGCTTCATCCTGAAG